AGATAGATAGATAGATAGATAGATAGATAGATAGATAGATAGATAGAAGCAAACAAAAAAGAAAAAGAAATTACCCCACCCTACAGGATGCTGTTGCTCACCTCTAGGATGTGTCCTTAATAAACCTAAAAAACAGTTCCTCACAGAAAGAGCCAGAAAGTAGTCTCCAAGATGAGTCCATATCAAGCCACGTTTAAAACAGTGCTAAACCAGGACAAACCATGCTCCGGCTTTACTGTGAAACGTCTTTCACGGGCTCATACATTTGCACTGGGATGCTGTGGAACCTTCCGGAGTTGGGGCCAAGCTGGCATTGCTTCCTCAAGCAAGCATTGCCCGATTCCTTGATTTCCTGACCCATCAAGATGTCCCAGCTACAAGCTCCAGCCCCTCGGAATCCAGCAGGCCTTCACTGACAGGATGGGCTGTACTCCCTCCAACCCTGAGCCAGGATAAACTGGCCCGTCTCTAAGCCGCTTCCGCCAGACACTGTGTCACAGCCACAAGAAGGGTATGCTGGATTAGGCAGGATGGCCCTGGCGTCAACGGCCTCTCTGAAGCCTCCGTGCTCCTGGCTGTAAGGGGAAGCCGACAGTACATGGATGAGGACCTCAGTGGAGACACCAAGGAACCTGGACGCTCCTGCTGAGGACCCAAGTGCTGTCCCCAACACCCACTGGTGGCTCAGGTGGTCCGCCTTGATTCCTGGAGCACCGGGATCACAAATGCAACCCTAACTTCTCTCTGCGAACTAGCCCACCATCCCCAGACACCGGCTCTGTCTTCACAGGCGGCCCCCTTCATGTCTGCATCTCCGAGAAACCAAACACGGCTTATTTCCCGTTAATTTTCATCTGCTTTTACTATTTTGATCGCACAAGTGCATACTTGTCATCGATGAGGAAGAAGATAGTCATGAGCTAGAAAGTGCCACAGGCCTGTTATCCTAGTGCTCAGAAGGCTTAGGAAGACCACTGTTGGGAATTTCAGGCAAGCCTGGGCTACATGGAAAGGTCCTGTGGGGATGGGGTGGAGTGTAGGGCTATAGGTCAGTGGCAGAGAGTTCAACTCCCAGTACCCTATAAAATGGATGTCACAGCAAATGCCTGCAATCTCTGATCTTGGGGGGCAGAGGCAGGAAAATCAGGGCTTCAAGGTCATCCATGGTTATAAAGCGAGTTCCGGACCAGCCTGAGCTGTGTGAGACCCTTTCTATAGAAAAAAAACTCAGATCCCAAACTCAGAGGTAAGTGTTGGTAATAATTTATATTTAAATTTAACTCAATATTTAAATCTGAATATAATCTGAATATGGCATGTGATCCTTCATATGGAACACTATTCTCTTTTTACAGTTTTTTGTTGCTGCTGTGGCTGCTGGCCTAAACCTGGGGTGAGCCTCCTGCCTCTGCCTCCAGGGTGCTGAGACAACAAGCCAGGGCACGATACCCAACTTTTACCAAAAATTTTCTTACATAAAATACTCCAACTGTTTTCGTAGTCATCAGTTCAGTGGCACATTTTCTTTCCCATCGGTATACTATTTCTTCTTCTTTTTTTAAAAATTTATTTATTTTTTATATTAATCACAGATTATTTACTTTGTATTCCAGCCATAGCCCCCTCCTCTTTTCCTCCCAATCCCACCCTCCCTCCCTCATCTTCTCCCTGCCCCTTTGCAAGTCCTCTAACAGGGGAGGATCTCCTCCCCCTCCATCTGACCCTAGCTTATCAAGTCTCCTCAGGACTGGCTGCAATGTCCTCTTCTGTGGCCTAGCAAGGCTGCTCCTCCCTCGTGGGGGGTGGTGGTGGAAGAGCTCGCCATTGGGTTCATGTCAGAAATAGTCCCTGTTTTCCTTATTAGAGAACGCATTTGGACACTGAGCTACCATGGGCTATATCCAAGCAAGGGTTCTAGATTATATCGATACATGGTCCTTGGTTGGGGAAACAATCTCATGAAAGACCCCTGTGCCCTGACATATTTGGTCCTTGTGGTGCTCCTGTCCTCTCCAGGTCTTACTGACTCCTCCTTCTTTCATACTTTTTCTTCTTAACGTGCTCTGCCAGGTCTGCTTGTTCTCATGTGCTGAATGTTTGCGTTATCATCATGTTCCCTGTCTGAAGAGACCTGTGAGTTCCTTTATGCTTCTCCTGCCTGGGTCCTGAAGGTGGGACAGGCTGGTGGAGTGGCAGGATGGCAGGGAGAAGGGTGGCAGGGTGGCAGGGAGGAAGGGTGGCAGGAAAGAAGGGTGGCAGGTCTTCTGTGGATGGGTAATGTGGACGGGCTCCTGGTTGTTGTCTGGGGACCTTCTCACCTACTCTTTCTAAACACAGGAGGTCAGAGAAGGGTCACAAGAAAACCTGTCCTGATGACCCTGTTGGGGCTGGCTGGCGTTTCAGAAAAGAGAAGGGGTCATTAGTCACCAATAACCTACTATTTCCTGGCGATTCCCGGCAAGCCGTAGAAAAGGCCCTGGTAGTTAATATAATGAGGAGCCTGGTTCGCTCTGTGGTTGTCTCATGCAGGAAGTAAACAAATAAAGCCAGGAAAGGGCGCGTATGCTTGGGCCGGTACCCTCCCACCCCATTTCTGCCAAGAAAGCAGGTACATGGATGGATCACCTGCCTTTCCCCCCTAGGAGCTGTGTACTCTCCCCCATCCTGGGCACTCTTACCCACTTCTCATGGGCCAGCCTGGACGGGAAGCAGAAGTCAGTCCACACGGTATCCATCGGGGACACCCAGAGCAGCCATACATGCCTCACCCTGGGGGGACGCAGGCAGGCTCCCAAGAGGAAACCCAGAATGTCAGAGTGAGTGTCAGTGGATTTTTCACCCTGAGCGGCAGTGGCAGGCCCACACTTTCATTTTTTATTACATTTATTTCTTGTGTGCACATATATGGTGTGTGTGTGTGTGTAGGTCAGGGGACAACTTTCAGGAGTCTTTTTTTTTTTTTTCCAGTCTTCCACCATGGGAAGTCCTGGGGATTGAACTCAGGTCATCAGGTTTGGTAATGAGTGTCTTTACCCAATGAGCCGGGCCTCTGATGTTTGTTTCTTTAACTTCTGGTATTTGGAAACGGTGTCTCATGCAGCTCAGGTTGGCCTCAGACTCCCCTGAAGCCAAGGATGGCCTTGGACGCCTGATCCTCTTGCCTCTAGCTGCCTGGTGCTGGGGCTACAGATGTGCTGCCTTCACACCCGGTTTATATCGAGCTGGGGAAGAACCCAGGGCCTCCCGCATTCTGTGCAGCTACCAATTGCGCCCCAGCCCCTAAACTGCCTCTCAGAACATGGTTCTGGCCCTGATGGAGAAGGAAGTGCCTCACCACACCTGATACTGACAGACATTTGGATTGGCGTGTCCGCCTCTCCCTTCAGAGCGTTTCCCGCAGCCATGTCTCACAGCTGTGCGAACCCAGTGTGGCTTGTCGTGCTGGGTATTTGGGCCTCAACCTCCCGACCCTACGAAGGAGAGAGAAGGTTAGTGGGAAGAGAGGGCCCTTTACTTCTCCCCACTGTTTAGGGCCGATGGGTCTTTTAGGGCTCTGCTCCTACCCACGTGGATCCTGGCCTGCTGGTTCCATGACTGACTTGTGGGTGTTACAGACGCGGTGATGAACTCTCGCCTGGCCTGGTGGCATGAGGAATGGTTCTGTCTGGTGTTGCCAGGCCTGGCAGAGAACACAGCTCCCAGGCAGCCACAGGATCACGCGGCGAGCGGCCAGAGCCTGTCACTAACAAAGGAAGAAAAGAAGAAGGGAAGGAAGAATTTATACACGCTGCCATCATTACGTACAGTCACCACCAGATACACTTAGGGTCTGTGAGGTGTTTTGAATGTGCATGTGGGTGTGGACACTTGTATAACTTTGGCTGGGTCAAGGCCGGTGGCAGCAGGATCCTTCTGGCTTCTGCTTTACAGGAGGACGGGCCTTTCGCCACAGCAGGAGGACACCTAAGAGGTGACCCAAAGGCAGCATTCCCCCACTGCCCTGGTGCTGAGCTGCGTGCTGTGTGCTCTGTGTGTACTGAGTTCTGAGGTGTGCGTTGCTTTTGATTTGGCGGCCGCTGCTCCGAAAATGACGGGAGCATGCTGGACTCTTAGGAGGCTGCCCCCGAACTGGTTCCAGTCGGACTCTCTGTCCCTCTCCCCCATTTTATCTCTAGGGTTTGGCTGGCTGGAAGGTACTACCTCTGGGTGAGCAGGAGCTCAGTGGCAGAGTAATGGGCTGGAACACATGAGGCCCTGGGTTCTTGCAGGACAAGGTGGCCATGTTGGAAGTATAAGGGCAGAGGAATGAAGGGAGCCAGGAAGTGCCAGGAGATGTGACCACAGTTGCCAACAGCTTCTGTATTGGGTGGCCACTGCCCAGAAGATATGAAATTTAAAGGATCGTCAGTGGCTACACCCTGGTGAAGCCAAGGGCCTTACAAAGTGCCGCCAGGAAAATCAGTCTGCTCCACTGCTCATTTTTATCATGAGAAATGAAATGAGAGTTTGAAGTTTGAGCTCCAGGATCCCCATGATGGAAGGAGAGAAACCATGCCCTCAAGTTGTCCTCTGACCCCACCAAATGCATGTTTCCGTGTGCATGAAAACACACACACACACACACACACACACACACACACACACACACACGATAGTAGTAATAAAAACAATAACTTGCATATTCATTCCCATTGCTGACCTTAGTCCCCACTGTGCTGCATTCCAATGAGACTCATGGGAATGCTGACCCCGCTGGGCCTCATTGCCCTCTGCCCTCTGCCCTCTGCCCTCTGCTTCTTTTCTCCTCAGAGCAGACATCCCAGAGCCTTCCACAGGGACTTGGCAAACTGCCTGCTGCTAGCACAGGTCATGCAGTCCTGGTCCCTGGTCGCTCTGTGAAGGAGTGATTGTCAGGCCCCTGACAGTACATCACACATAGTAAATAAGTGAGTGGGGAGGAAAAGGAAGAGTCCTGATGGGTAATAGCCTGGCCGTGTTTGTGATCCATGGGTGGTGGGTACAGGAGAGTCCTCCTCAGAACTGGAAGTCTCTGAAGATAGCCTTGGATGGGACATCCTTCCAGAAGGATCCTCAGCAAGCAGGGGGCATAGAATGTTGAGGGGACTCAGTGAGATACCCATAGAACAGCCACGGAGAGAGCGCACGGGCAGACGGGAGATCACAGAGACAGGGACTTGGCTGAGAGACTGTATCTTCATCTCTGCTAACCTGACATTCAGAAACACACAGCCTGAAATAACATAGCAGCCACAGCCTTGTTCGTGTCTATCTGCTTGTTCTAAGGCAGACAACACACAGCCCAGGCTGTCCTCAAACTCGCTGTCCACCAGCTGGAGATCTGTGAAGCCGACGTCAGCATGGCTGTGTTGGGAGACGTGCCCAGGGCAGCTATTCTCAACCTCTGGGTCCTGACCCCTTGGGGTTTGTTAAACGATTGTTTCACAAAGGTTGTCTAAGACTATTCTGTTTATCAGATATTGACATTACGATTCAGAACAGTAGCAAAATTAGTTATGAAGTAATAACAAAAAATGATTTTATGGTTGGGCGTCACCACAACCTGAGGCACTGTATTAAGGGGTCCCAGCATTAGGAAGGTTGAGGACCACTGCTCTAGGTGATTGGAAAGATGTACCTTATAAAAAAACACAGTGTTTAGCCAGGCGCGGTGGCAGAGACCTTTAATCCCAGCACTCGGGGAGGCAGAGGCAGGCAGATCTCTATGAGTTTGAGGCTAGCCTGGTCTACAGGGAGAGTCCAGGAGAGCAAGGGGTGTTTACAGAGAAACTCAGTCTCAAACGAAAAACAAACAATCAAACAAAAACACACAACTTTGGAGAAAGTACGATTATGTAATGTTTTCTAATTCTAAAGATAAACATTAAGGTCAGGGCTGTAGCTCTGTGATAGAGGGTTTGCCTCACATGTGTGAAGCCTTGGGTTCCATCCCCAGCACTGCCCCTCCCTGAAAGAAAATAAATGAAGAAGAAAGTGCCTCACAAAGTTAGTGACCCTTATTTCCTCCGGGGAGTGAGGTTCTAGAAGGTGGAAGAAAACGTTTGTCCTCTGTTTTGCCAGGTTTTTGTAACAAGCCCTTGTTATGCTCTAGGTAAAACCAAGGCAAAATCAAATCTGTAATTAAAAATAAATAAATTAAAAAACAAAAACAACAACACTTCTGGGTATGGCAAGAGTAGCTCAGAGGCTAGGTGACCTCAGGTAGGAGGTGATGAGGATGCCTTTAGGTCCGTCCCCTCAGCGTGTTCTGACGGTGTGCGGGTGTTCCTTGGGCGGCGGCAGCAGCAGAACCCACAGCCAGAAGTCAGCTCTGACCTCCTGGTGCTTCTTCGCCACTGGCTTCTGGTTCTTGGTTCTCTGCATCAGATCTTCATGGCTCACACATCAGCTCTGACAATGAAACAATTTTGTTAAGTGTCCCACTTAAGCCCCACTGCCTGGGTTTAAATCCCTGGGAGTCTTGTGAATGAACTGTGCCATGCTCTAGGTGCCTTGTCTAATCTCTCTGAACCTTCAGACAGCAGAAGGCACTTCTGGGGGCTGCTTCCCATGGCTCCAAGGATGAGTCGTACAGACATTCCCTCCCCAAACCACTTAGCGATCAGCTCACCTGTTCCAGAAACTCCTCACAGAGGTGTTGTCATATTTCTAGCTTCATTATGAGACAGGTGCTGTTTCCTTCTTGTCTCTGAAACAAGGAAATATATGAACGATAAAAAAATACACTTCATATGCTTGAATCTCAACACTAGGGAAAGCTGAGGCACAGGGACTGTGAGTCAAAGGCCAGCCTGGGCTACATGGTGAGACTGTCAAATGGAGAATGAAAAGGGAAAGAAAGAAAGAAAGAAAGAAAGAAAGAAAGAAAGAAAGAAAGAAAGAAAGAAAGAAAGAAAGAAAGAGATGAAAGGAGAGGGAGGGACAAGGGGAGTGGAAAATCAAAATAAATAAAGTCGAGAGATATGCTGTCTTGGTCTTCTTTAGCTTTTACTAAAACAATTTGCACTTTTCAAAAATGGGCATAACATTATACATGGTGTCACCTTTGAACATCCCTGTGGCCTGGAAGCAAAGGAGACACAGGAAGGGGTTGGGGCAAGCTAGAGTTGTCAGCACATGCCTCCAGCACACAGCATCCACAGCTGGGTCCTGTCACCTACCTATGCCATGTTCCTATGCCACAGTTCCATAGGCACCCAAGATGAACCTCTTGATCAGGTCAGAGCCCCTCCCCCCGATGCACACACACTGGGTGATCTCCAGAGGCGAAATCCTGACACACCCAGGAGTGTCCTTAGCCAATTCCCTGTGGACCTCTCAACCTAACCAAGCTAGATGAGCCCTGGGGGCAGAGTTCTTGCCTTACATACACAGAAGCCAGAGGAGATGAGAAAGAAGTTTCCAATGAGAAGGAAAAAAAAAAAAAAAAAAAAAAAAAAAAACAAACCTGAGACAATCAGTTTGCAAGGAGAAAGGTTCCAGCCCATCCATGGTCAGGAAGTGGGGTTGCTTTAGGAAAGAGCTCATGGCATGGGAAAGTTGGTTGACCCATGAGGAGCCTGGCACAAGGGACAGTGGAGAGGTACAGAGGCCCAGAACCATCGTGTGTGTGTGTGTGTGTGTGTGTGTGTGTGTGTGTATGTGTGTGCAGATATACTTGTGAGATGTGTCTGCAGGCAAGTGTGCATACTCGTGATTGAAGAAGCATACATACTGTATGTGTATACCTGTATGCTCACTGTACCTGCACACGCACATAGACGCCAGAAGTCAACCTTGGATGTTTTTGTTGTTGTTGTTTTGACCCTGGGTGTTCTTTCTCAGGCTTGGCACCCATCAGAACCTTGGCTTCTGGAGTCTTCAAGATGGAGTCTGCAGACTTAGTCCTTCCCCTTTGTAGGAACTTATTCTTCCCGCTTCTGGTCAGTGGAGGAGCAGCTTGAAGTCGCCCTACACAGTGGGACTCATTCTGGTTCCCTCACACTGCTGTATTCCTTGGAGAGGTTTCAGATTGTGGGAACCAGCCTTGTTGAGTGTGGGAAGACGTAGTTTGTAGTCCTAAGGGCATGTGGGAATTCTGTCCTCTCTGGGGACACACAGCTGTGCCCTGAGCCCCTGATATCCATGCTGGTTAACCTAGAGAAAGGTTCACGATGGGAAAATCCAACCCCAGGCGTTTCCTCCTCCAGGCCACCTCCTCCTCTGAACCTCGACCATGACCCTAAAACTACCAGAGGAAAAGAAAAAGGCCTCATGAGATTAAAAACCTATGTGCCAATTCTGAGGACCTGCCCTGTCCCAGGCCTTAACCACATCACGTCAACCCTGCACATCCTGGGTGCTTCTTCTGCTTGGGAACACCGAGGTTCGGGGGGGGGTATGTGCTTTAACCCGGAGAGACAGCCGCAAAGGCAACAGGGCCCTGAAACATCTGCTCCCCGAGTCCAGAGCCTCTATTTTAAAACTCGTTCCCCATAGATGCACCGGGTGGGAAAACAAAAGTAGGAAGACATAAAGCCAAGGTGGGTCCAACTTCACTGATCTAAGGCTAAAGGCCACAGGGATTGCCAAGCTGTGGTGGCCCGTGCCTGTCACACCAGCGCTCTTCAGAGTCAGAGGCAGGAGGATGGGGAGGTCAAGGTTATCCTTGGCTAGTCAGGAAAAGTCAACCCAGTCTGGGCGACATGAAACCCTGTCACAAACAAAACACAGTGAAACAAAAACCGTCAGAACACAGACTTGTCCATGATGGTGGAGAATACATTCATTAAACAGGGTGTGCTCACAATGGAGAGGCTGAATGGGGCAGGAGGATCATTACGCTCAGGGCCAGCCTGGGCTAGGGGAGACCCTGCCAAACAGAGACGTGGGAGATGGAGGAGAAGGGGGAAAAAAAAAGCAAATGCCAACCATTCAAAACTCCAGTTATTAATAATATGTTATTGCTGTATCATTATTAATATTCTATCTCGTCGTAATTATTCATCTGAGTTATACGCACATTGGCGAGGACCAGGGCATGTAAGTGAAAAACCAACAAATAAAATCCCAACTCGAGCAGCCTGGGAACGACCAGGGCCTCCCTTGTTTGTGTCCAGGCGGCTCTAGAGCCTCCTAATTCATTACCACCCTTCCTCACCGTCCGTCACTTCATTCTGATCTTTAGCTGAACTTCCCTGGGTCACAGCATGCTGCCATCACCCAGGTACACCCCAAACTAAGAGAAGGTAATATTTTCCTCCAGGACCTAGGGACATAGTCCCTGGGATGTGAAGGCCTTCCTAAAGCCAAGCACAGAAGCCAGCAACAGAAAGCTTTTGGTTGGAGCCTACAAGATGGTTCAGGAGGTAAAGGGGCTTGCGGATAGGACTAACACCCCAAGTTCAAAGTCCAGGGCCCACGTGGTGAAAGGGAGTAGATTCCTACAAGGTGTCCTCTGGCTACTGCATGAATAAGTAAACAAACTTAATTAAATAATTTTATTTATTTATTTTGTTGGATTGTTCTTAATTTTTTAAAGTAGTTGTGTGTGTGTGTTTTGCTTGTATGTATGTATATATGTATGTAGACCACGAGGTGCCTGTGAAGGTCAGAAGAGGGCATCAGATCTCCTGGAACTGGAGTTACAGATGTTCGTGAACCACCC